TTAACAATTCATATCCACTTAGATGGCTATTAAAAAATAAATGGCAAGAAGTATGGCTCAATGACAAGACTAGCATGGTGGAGAGGGGGAGGGCAGTGAGTCTACAGAGAAACTAGAACTTAATATAATTGTGGTTAAGAATCTAAAAAACAGTACAGCCACTGTGAAAATGCTCATCATGGCTTAAAAAAATAACACATCTAAGAGAAAGAAAATACAAAAAAAAAAAAAAAAAAAAAGAAGAAAAAAAAAAAAAAAAAAAAAAAAAAAAAAAAAAAAAAAAAAAAAAAAAAAGAGAGAGAGAAAGAAAATATTTCTACACAAAGGCTTGTACATGAATGCAAACAGCAGCAGTATTCCTAATAGCCACAAACTGTTAATTCAAATGTCCAGAGCTGAAGGATAGATAAACAAAATATGGAACATTAGCCATAAGAAGGAACAGTATTTATACATGTAACAGCATGGAAGAATCTTGAAAATATAGGTAAGTGAAAGAATCCAGATCTAAGACTACATATTATATTTCATTTATCTCAAAGATCCAAAAAGAAAAATGTACAGACACAAAAGAGAAGTGATTTTAAATTGGATGCATTAATGTCTGTAGAACTCCACAAATTTACTAAAAAACACAGAATTATATATACATTTTAAAACTTTATGGTATGTAAATAGCATGATGTGTGAGAAGGACTAGGGGTATAGCTCAGTGGTAGTGCACTTGCCTCACACATATGAGATCCGGGCTTTTATCCCCAACACTGCAAAAGAGGGCTGGAAGAGTACAATGAACATGCATGCATGCACATAAAAATCAGGAAGTAAGAGTACTGAAGTCAAAGGCAATACAGGTTAGCAGGAAGGATTATTTCATGTCTTGTGGTAAAGAGAAACAGAATATAGAAACACAATAGAACAATTCATTAGTTGTAATAATCTATACAAGTGGCGGTAAGTTTCCTGTTTGTCAACTACTTCATTTTTAGAATGAATGTGGTAGTACCAAGGCAGGGGCATCTACAATGCTGGAATGATTTGGAAAATCTCATCAAAGTCTCTCCTAGTAACTAGGGAACTAGGCAAGAAGGCAAGTAACTAAAACACTCAGTAAGCCAGGCGTGGCAGTGCAAACCTGTAAGCCCAGCCCTGGAAGCCAGCCTAGACTACATAGCTCAAGGCCAGCCTGAACTACATAGTGAGACCCTGTCTCAAAGTCAGGGATGTCAGGGGAACCTCATTATGTTAGATGAATCTATATATTATAGATTTTATGAGAAACCTATAGTTTTTAATATTATGGGTTATTTAAGAAAAAAAAAGGGAATGAATTCCTACACAAACAGGAAGCGAATGGAGAAGAATCATCCCTACCTAAGTAAGATATTATCAGAATTCCTTCATGGTTCTGATATTTAATTTAGTTCTGGGAAGTAGAAATACAAGACTTTGGAAGCCTCTTTTCTTGTCTCCTGTTATTCATTAGAAGTCTGTAAGAATGAGAACTGAGAGGAGAATCAATTAAGTACTAGATTCTTTGAGAAAGTCTTTAATTCTCAGACATTTGAGAAATGAGCAAAACACAAATTTATCTTCAACTTGAAACTCAAGATGTCTCACTTAGAGATTTTAAAAGTTGGAATGATCCATCCTCTGTATCTGGGATAAAATAAAATTATGGATAACTGCTTTAAATGTATTTTAATTTTAAGAAATTTCCTGAAGAAAAATGTGATCCTCACTAAACAAGAGTTGATTACAGCCCATCATCTACATTTGTTTATAAAATGGGGAATTCTTCACTTACAAGCATCTCCCTTAATTCTGATACTGAACCAGCAAGACCCTCCCTCTCTGCTTCAGCCTACATTGCCCCAAAGCACACTTACTAAGTACATTCTTAACTGTAATCCTCATCTTGGGACTGGGAAAGAAAAATGAATGAGAGCCATGGTGTTACTTTCTTGATAAGGAGCAAACTTAGGTTAATAAGGTCACTGTGAAGCAGTCCAGCCAAATGTGATTCACTGTGCTCAGATAATTATAGCATGCATGTAAGCATCTTTCTTTCCATCTAGTTCTAGAAGATTTTTACTGTTGTGTTTTGTACCCTTTTTGACTCAAAACACACAAGAAAAACAAACCTAACATGAATGAGGTGGATAAGAAAGCTCAGAAGTGTGGTGGATTCAAGATTAGCTATAAAATCAGTTTTATGGGCTGAACTTTGTCTGCCCTTCTTCAAAAGTTGTTTTTCTCACCAAGTGAAAATTTCTAAGCACAAGGAGAAAAATTACATGCTGGTCTTTAGTATACAGACTCCCATATAAACCTTGGAACAGTGTCCAGGAGACACACTCAGCCTGGTCATGGGAAAGTATCTAGTGCATTAAGGATCGATCCTTTATTCAAGGGTCTATTTCCCTACACCCTGCCCTCTGGTTGTGGAGTAAAAAACAATCAAGTTTGTACAATAAAGTTTGAGGTCTGAGCACAAGTACATTTACAAACCCTTGGGGACTGCTATTAGGCAAGGAGTCCGAGGCAACAGCTTCACTGCCAGCAGGGCTGCTGATTATGACACACATCCCTCACCCTGACTTTGAATAGACTGACCTCTCAGCAAGAGCCAGTTGGCAAGTGCTGGAGAAGTGGAAAACAGAATAAATAAGTACTCTGAGACTGAGGCCTGAACTCTAGCCTCTCTAGTAGCTAATGCTGGTCAATAAATACTGCATACTAGAACAAAGTTTAAGAACAGTAACTTCTTTTGTTCTGAGGGGAGAAGGGGAAGCAGTAGAGGGGACTGTGCTGAGCTGAGGAACACTCTACCACTGAGTTACAAGTCCAATCCCCTGACATTTTTTTTCAAAATTTCAAAACAGGATCTCAAGAAGTTGCCTAGACAGGGCTCATATGTGCCTCAGCCTCCCTCAGCTCTGGATTACAGGCATATGCCACTGACCCCAGGTGAAATTTCTGTTAAATCCAGAAATGCTCACTAAACAACCAAGTCTTTTGACTTGTAGATGGTCTCAAAAGCTAGAAACTCTCTTTTCAACAAGCCTCCGGTGACGATGGAAGTTCCAACCCTATGCAAACTTCCCATTTCAGTGTGGCAAAAAACATCAAATTTAAATGTAAGATTCTAAATTTACTACAATTTTTCATTGCTTATTATATATCAGGAATTAACCTAGTGGTAGAATGAAAGACCCTATTTCCATCTTTTTTAAATGAAACAGACTGTAGGTTTCACAACTACAGGAATCAGAAGTTTAGCTAATATATAGGAAACTGAAGTTTCAACCCTGATTAACTACCTAAAAGTGACAAGCTAGCTGGGTATGGTGGTGCATACCTGTAATCCCAGCACCTCAGAGGCTGAGGCAGGAGGACTGCACAGAGTTCAAGGCCAGACTGGGCTACACAGTGAATTCAAGGACAGCCTGAACTAAAAGTGAGACCCTGTCTCAAAAAATCAAAACATACACAAATATACATGAACGAATGCATGAATGAATGAATTAATAAAAGTGACAAGCTGTGACTACATAATGTATTATCCACATGAGGACATACTAAGTAAGGGGATATATCACTGCATGTTTAAAAACTCTTCAATGACTGCCCATCACTTTTCTTTTTCCTTTTGGTATCGGGATCGAACTCAGGACCTTGCACTAACTAGGCAGGCGGAAGAACCACTGAGCTAAATCCCTGGCTGCCATCACTTTTCAATGAGACCATATTTCATCCCTATAACTTGGGCATACACCACAACTCTAGTACCTATCACACTCGATAAGGGCAGCATCTCTACCCACAAAGGACACCTTAATGATCTACCTTAATGCTTGCCACACAGACACCTCAAATGTGGTGGCCAGACTAAACTGTTTAGTAAACTTCATTGCTGTTCATCCTCCACCCAACATGTCTTACATCAGTGGGGGCAAACCCGTGGCATGTGTGCCACAGGGCACCGTGTGTATCATTTAAAGCTCTAGAAGGTTCATCATCACTGTCATACAAAAAAAAAGATTTTTCCTTCATCCATGCTTTTCCCACCTATATTCCTTATTTGCCAACTGCCATTTCCTAGCTATGGAACTTTAGGTAAATTATTCAACCTCTCTGTGCCCCAGTATGGTTGCTCATATAATTACATATTTCAAAGCATTAATATCATGATTAAATGAGTTATTACATATACCATGCCTTGAACAATGCCAAGTACTTCATGTAAACAGTCTGCTCCTCAAGGGCAGAAATCTTTATCCTTTTAGATCACTCCTGTTTGCTCATCCCACATATAATATCTAGCAGAGAAGACATGTTTATTTTTGCTGAAATCTCTTCTCCCCAGTAATGAAGTTTGAACCCAAGGCCTTTGAACTGAGCTACATCTCCAGCTCACTCGTTTTATTCTTTGACATAGTCTTGCTAAGTTTTACAGACTGGGCTTGAACTTGCAATCTTCCTGCCTCAAGTTTCTAGAATGCTGGGATTATAAGCATGCCCTACTACACCAAGATAAAACATTGAAATCTTAATGAACATAAACTTTGCTCTGTTTTTCTCAAATCTGTTGTTTTACCCTACCAGTGCCACACCTTCTATATCCCACATAAACCTTTAAAAAAAAATCAAAATTCTCTTTCCATTTAGATTAAGACAAACTTGTATGTCAGCACAGAACTGTACCTGAAATTGATTAAATACTCCTGAGTTTTCTACCTACCACCTGCTCAATTTTAAGTACAGACAATGAATTGGTTAACAGTTCCAAGATCTACTATAATTCTGCAATTATGCAAGACTAAATAGCAAGAATGAAAGGATTACTACTAATTTGTGCTTCTACATTTAAGTAAGATAACTGCTTTAGTATATACATTCAAATATATCATTACACAAAGTTACAAAACCTGTAAATCATGAAGAGTAATACAAACTCAGCTTACTTTTAAAATAGAATTTTACAAAAATAAAATTACCTAAAATTAAGCCCACCATTGTACTTAAATATCCGGTTCCACTTCCCAGGTTAAGAAAAGACAATCCCGGTTGAAGTTTCAGTGCTTCCATAACTTCAGAATAAATGCAAGGTGCTGATAAGTGTATGTTTCCATGCTTCCAGGCTAAGTCTTTGTAAGCATTGTCTCTGTAGCCTTCCAAATAGTAATCTCCACGATCAATTGCTCTGAAAGCTTGCTCCACTCTTTCAGTACGGATATACTGAGCTTCTTTAAGATTATCAATTAAGTCATCATTATCTTCCCCGGCACTCACAGCTCCTCCCATGATAGTATTCAAATCAAATCATAAATTTAAAAATGTAATAAAATCAGTAGAAGTGGCTTCCAATAATGTACTGTAATTTATTCTTTTTAATATTGCACTTGGTTTCCAAAAATAAATCCTACAAGAAAAAAAAAACAAGTTTAAATTAATCCTCAAGAGAAAAATAATTCCAGTTCATTAAATATGTCATTATAGCTATAATTTCTTCAGAATATAATCTGCTCCGAGCATACTGTTACTGATGTAAGTAGACTTTTACTTAAATCTTAAAACCATCAAAGTAATTTATGTATGATCTCATCTGTACAATGGAAAAACTAGAAAGAAGTTAAGACACCTACATCTCAACTAATAATTAAATTCACTTAAAAATTTGGTTATCAATCTAGCCACATTTTAAGTCACATTTCATGGCCAGTGACTGACATAGTGGAGAGAGCTGGTTTGGAGAGTGACACTGTTGGGACTTAGTCCCTCGCCTTTCAGATTCAAGAACCATGCTCATAATTGCCAAGGCATATGGGCTTCTTTATAGTATAGCAATACTACTTTAATAAGCAGTTCGTTGATCGTTAAAAAGCTAGAAATTCCAGGGCCAGGGATTTAGCTCAGTGGTGCCACACCTGTCTGGCAAGTGCAAGGTCCTGAATTCAATCCCTGTACCACACACACACAAACAGTGAACAATTCCAAAATATACTATGTAAATTTTACAATAGAGATTATATTACCTAAACAATGAATATAAAATGCAAAAAAGCAGGCTCACAAGTTCAGTATACATACACATAGCAAAGACTACTTTGTTGGATAAGTCATCTCAATAAATAGTAAGTCCAAAAACTTTATTAACAATTTTTATAGTCTAAGCACTAGAACAAATGTTATATATACATAAATAGCAAACTTCCTTAACAGATAAAACTAAGCATCTTTGAAAGGAAATTTAAGTGGACCTTGATAAAGAATTTCAATATATAGTCTAAATGCACAATTTAAGCTCTGTATAAAGTTAATAAGTAAATTAATGTATCAATTTCTAAAGCAAATCAGGAGATATGGAAAGTGAGAAATCAAATACCCAGGGCCAAAAACAAGAATTGATAGCCAAGTCTGGCAAGGCTGCTCTCCTACTCTTGGCTTGGGGGCTGCGGGGAGCAATCAGGGCCTTGAGTACCCACAGATCCCTGGCAGAAGCTTCTCCAGCAGAGGTGAGGCAGCACCCTCACCACAGCCTGGAGCCATGTCCCCTTTGTTCTTCCCTAATATCTCTTCAAGAACTTGTGGAGTAAAGCAAACACTATGAGATCATATTTCATGCATATTTAATTTATTCAAGCCAATTTACAAAAGCTGACTCTACTCCTCACCTCCAAAATAAAAAAAATTTTTTTGAAAGTACAAGAGCTTACAGCCTTTCTCCACATGAGTTTCTTTCAGACAGTATATAATGCTGAAAAGATGTTAACCTGCTATTCCTTCAGCAGGTTTTAGATTTGGCAACCTTTTACAGATATTTATTTGCTTGATGAGTGCAATTCTAGCATTTCAAGATTGTTTTAAAGACATGGCTTCAGCACAAGTCAACTATTTTCATTTGTTACTCCTCCCAGATCAAAACAAAAATGGCTGCACTAGTCTAGGAAATAGTTTCTGTCTTTATCCAGCATGGTCCTTGCCAAACGACTTTAAAAGTGCAATTCCAATTATATAGACTCAATAAATGGCTCTACTGTAAATGATACAATTTACTACTCTGAAAAAATGATTCCCTTTCTGTTCATTCCAGGACTTAAGAACCTGACTCTTAATTTCTCCTGAACTCCCCCTATCAATCCATCCTGTTCAGAATCACAGAAAAACAATGCTGTCTTTTACACAGCTCACATTCTTGGTGAGAAAGAGGTAAAGGAGTAATCAAATAAACAAGAACTATATCATTTATTGACACTGTTCTAAACAACTCATCTCATTAAAAATTTAAAATAACCCAAGAGAAAGGCACTAGTGTGCCTACCTTCAAGTGGAAACCAGATGCAAAAAAGTAGAGTTCTAGGAGCCCAAAGGAACCCAAAGTGAGACCTGAGTTTGGGAGATCAAAGATAGCTTCCACAGAAGCATGCACTGCGAGCCAGGCGTAGCAGCACGCCCCTAATACTACCCCTACTATTCTGGAAGGCTAAGGCAAGAAGATCACAAGTTAAAAGCACAGCCTGGGCAACTCAGGGATATAAGTGAAACTTTGTTTCCAAGTTTAAAAAAAACGGCTGGTGGTGTAGCTCAGCATGAAGAGTTCAATCCCCAGTACCAAGAAATGAAAACACAAACAAAAAATTCACACAGTGTATTAAAGGAATGAAGGAATTGTAGGCTGAGAAAACAGCTGACACTAAATCAAAAGCAAATGACACTTTTAAGAAATTAACTTACAGTTGGACATTTTCCAGTATTATAATAGCCTTTGTGTTGCATGCCAGTGATTTTTTTTCACCTGAATCCTTCTGAAAGCCTCACCACATTTATGGATCTTGAGTAAAAAATTTGAGATCAGAAATTCTGCACACAACTTCAAAAGACTCCGGAACTCTTAACCATAAAGGTCCCTCTAATTTTAAAACATACATTAGAGCCAATAGAGAGCCAGAGATTTTAACCAGGGATTTTCCATTTTAGAAGATGCATCATGTGTAGGGTAATCTGTATACAGAATGATCTACATACAGCAAAAGGCCTGAGACCAGCTGCTTGGAAGACTGAAGAAAAAAATGACAGTTTATGAATGTGAAACTTGATATACAAGATTCCTTTCTCTGTGGACTGAGAAAGATAAACAGGTCTGAACAGAAAATTGCAAGGATACCTAGAAAGGAAGCAGCAGTAAAGAATAGTTTCTTGGAGGTTAATAGCTCCCCTTATCCACAGTTTCATTTTCCATGATTCAGTTAAGCATGGCCAACCATAATCTGAAAATATTAAATGGAAAATTTCAGAAATAATTCATAAGTTTTAAACTGAATGCCATTCTGAAAAGCATGATCAAATCTAACACCATCATGCTCAATCTCATCCAGGATATGAATCATCCCCTTGTCCAGGGTGGCTACTCTGTAAAAACTACTTGCTCATTAGCCACTTAGTAGCCATCCTGGTCATGAGATCAACAGCTTTGGTATAGTCAGTGCCATTCCTCTCACTTTATCTCATCACTGGGACATCAATAACATCTCACATCATTAGAAGGATAAGTACTGCACAGTAAAATAGTCTAAGAAAAAGAAACTTCAATTTTACAGTATATAATTATTCAAATTTATCACTGATAATCTCTTACTATGCCTAATTTATAACTTAAAGTTTATTATAGGTATGTGTCATGGTTTATACCCGGATGTTTCCTCAAAGCCTCAGGAGTTCATAGCTGAACATGATGCTGGGAGGTGAAGCCTGGTTGAAGGAAATAGGTCACAGGAGATGTGACCTGGAACAGTTAATCTCCCTTCCTCCTCCCTCAATCGCTGTCTGCTTCCTGCTTGCCACACCATGTGATTCTCTTCTGCCACGCCACCCTACCTTGGACTTAGCCAAGACTATGAAGTGAAACTTGTACACAAACTATGAGCCAAAATAAACCATTTCTCCTTAGAGTTGCAGGTGTCAGTTATTGTACCTCAGCAATAAAAAAGTAAAACAGCTTTGTATGTATGTATGAGGAAAAAAACAGTACATACAATAGTACACAAAGTTTAAGAAAAGTTTTTTTTTAGTATCAGGAATGGAACTCAGGGCCTTGCGCTTGCCAGGCAGGTGCTGTGCCACTGAGCTACATACCTGGTTCATAAAACATAGTATTCTTATTAACAATACTTGGGACCAGGAGTTTCAGATTTCATAATTTTTTCAGGTTTTGGAATGTGCACAGGGACAGGACCCAAGATGAACATGAAATTCAGCTACACTTCATATATACCTTAGATAACCTGGGCTAATTTTACACAACATTTCTGTGTGCTTATCTTTTGAGAATGACCCATCTATTACATGAAGCAAGAGGCAGAATTTTCCACTTGTGGCATTATGCCAATACTCAAAGAGCTTCAGATTTTGAAGCATTTTGAATTTCAGATTTTCAGTTTAGAAGTGTTCAACCATAACAGTTCAATACTATCCAAAGTTCCAGGCATCCACTCTGTCAAGGACAAGGAGAGACTTGGGTACCATCTATTAAAATGCTTATTTCTTTAATGCAAATTAGCCAATCCACACAGAGCACAGATTTGACTATGATAAGGAAGTGTGTGTGGTTCACACTACAGGTTCCTATTTTGCAGTGATCAGGAAGGAAGCAAACTTCTTCATAGAGATACCTGAGCAATTTATGTAGATTTAAAGCAAAAATCTTAAACTATAGAGTACTTTTCAGAAGGCAATCAGATGCTGGTGATGTGGCTTCAACTGATAATGGAGAAGCTATGAATGCTAATGAAAAAGTGCTAAGACATTCTTCCCTGATAGATTAACAAAGAAGGCTGTATCTAGGTTCAGACTTTCAAATTTTGAAGAAAAGTACATCTACCTGGAGCAAACTTGCCCTTCAAAGGGGAAGATTAATGCTAGGGTTTAAGGATGTGAAGAACTGACTGTGACACTAGGCGCAATCCCCAGTAGATTTAGCTGTGCTAGAAATTTTATTAGGATCACTACTGTTTTGGGGGGTACAGTAAGCCTATACCTGTTTTTCTAAAACATGAGGCATTTTTATATACTATAGTTTAAAAAACAGACAAAACAGTAATCTCTCAGTGCCTTCAAAGGGTCTTCGGGGAGCCAACGGACCCCAGACTGCATCTGGAGAACAGCTGAACATCATGAGGCACCTTACCTCAACATGTTGAAGGTGGAGAAGGAGTGATCAGAAGACTTTCCTGGTGAAGATGAAACACTAGTAAGCATAGAAAGCTTAAGGAAAAGGTGTTATACAGAAAAAGCATATGCAAAGAAGCAATATAACTACTCAAGGCCCTAAAAATAGTACGAGACCACTGGGGCTGGAGATTTAGCTCAGTGGTGCCGCCACCTGCCTCACCAGTGTAAGGTCCCAAGGCACAGGGTCCTGAGTTC